AGGTGGTGCTTTTCTTTTGCCGCTTTGGGTAGTTGCCCCAAACCCTATTTTCTGGCAAATCGAAACGTTCTCCCCCCCCCCCCCCCCCCCCCCCCAAAAAAAAAAAAAAAAAAGAAATTCAATTAGATAACCGACCAAATGAATATACCCAGCGATGCTATTCAATGCTGCGGTACCATACGTTTGTGAAACCAAAATCAGATGATAATGTATTCATTTGCACTGCTTAAGGAGTAAGATAAGACAGCTGTGAAAACCCCACACTGTACTAAGAAGTAAGAGGGAAACAGCTGTGAAAACCCCACACTGTTCCGAAAAGTTTAAGTGAAACAGCTGTGAAAACCCCACACTGTTCTCGGTGAGACGAAGCAGCTGTGAAAACCCCATACTGCTCTGAAAGGTTGGGAAGGCAAAGCACGTCCACACTGTCTCGGAAGTTGCAAAAGGAAGTAAGTTAGATCCAGAATGAAATATGACAAGGTGTAAAGAACCACGTACGGGCAAATGGCAGTGGCACTATTCCCATAGTTTTCTACATGATGTTTATTTTTTTTTTGCATTATTTGAGTCATGAAAATTGATTTATTGATTTATTGCTTTATTGATATATTGAAATATGTGTATGGTTCGGGTTAAAATCCGAGCGAAAATAATAAGATGCATCGTCTAATGATGAATGAATTAAAAGGTATTGTAATTTAGTTGCACCATCAAGAAACTTTATAATAACAATCCAAAATTGTCCGGAAATGAGAATTCTACATCGAATGTTCAAACGAATTCTTTGACTGTTCCACTCTAATAAATTCCGATGGCGATAATTCACATCGTAATGGAATAAACAATATAAATTTGGGTGAGAATTTAAGAACATATCACTATTTTATATTCGAGTCGAATCAAATGTCATGATAAATAATGCAATTGAACTGTCTTTGACGCTGTTGGGTCTTTGACTATCTGGAAAACCCAAATAAGAAAAAATAAGTACTGTTTATACCTTGGTCACTATATCAAGATCGCAGAGTATGTAATAGTTGTATTCTGAGCAGGCTATGTCTGTACGATCATAGACTTTGTCGACACTTGTCATTCTTCAATTTTCATCGATTAAGAAACACATTGAGTCGATTTTTAATTCGTTAAAAACCTCTCTCAATATTATAATTTACGTTTGTAAAAAAAAAGTTCATAATGTCGTTATATTCACAAAACCGCAAAATCAAATCCTAAACTCATTAAACCTGATTTATTATTATTTTATATCGCCTTTTAAGTCCGAACAAAAAACAGATTATCTGTTGAAAATCTTATTGTTTAAATAATTTTTTTGATACTTATTTTCAGATGCAAAAAGTTTGATAATCTTTGATACGTATTACTTTCATTATCATAAAACAAAACGAAAGGATTTCATTAATTTTCATTAAATAAATTCTTTATTATAGAAGAATGAAATGGTTTACCGTGACTTACAATATTTTAAATTTACCATAAGTCAATTAATAATTGAGATATTAATTATTTGGTCATAACTAAAGATGCAGACATTTATAGGGTCAAAGGTAGTTATTTTTATACGTCACCTATAAAATTTATATAATCTAATACGTTATATTAAATACGTCATGTCAATACGTCATACGTAGTTAAATGTTAATTGATATTCTAACGTCTGCAGCTTTAACACTAGCCTCTATAAAAGGTTAACTATGTTAAAAATATCGAACAAGGGTATCCCCGGAAAATACATTTCGAGAAAATTATACTTTACACGAATAGTTCATATATAAAATTACTGATGTTCAAGAATTTCTGATCAAGCATTATTCCAAAATTTTGACAGATTAATATCAATATCAATGATGGAATCAGATGAATTATTTATTAAAGATTCTTTAAAAGAAATCGAATTCTCGGAGTTTAAACGGAATTTCCGACTAGCGTAATATTTTCGATTAATTCTACGTCTAGCCAAATAATTGTGAAATATTTTCTAGTATGAGGTGGACATTTAATTTTACAACTTTTGCCCTTACAAGTGTAAAAAGGAATATGACAGCTACTACATTGATTGCAAAAACATTTTGCAAAGAAACCGTAGTTATGAAAAGTTCCATAGGGACCTACAGAAATGATAGGAATCTCTGAATCAAAGATCGAAAATTATCGGAATATTTGAAGGGGTTGGGTTTATTGTTGTTCACCATTAGAAATTTTAGCAGAAAGAACAGATGTTCGACCACAAAATAGATGTGCAAACAAGAATTTCAAATGTATTGTCTCGAAATAAAGCCTTGGGGTGTAGTTTAAAATTTTGGCCCGAATTAAGTAAATTCGGCCTAAATCAGGCTTAATTCGGGCCAAAGATTTGAACTACACCCGGGGAGTTATTTCGAGGCAATACGGTAAAGCAAATATAGAAACTTTTACGATCCTTTTTACGGTAAAAAGCAAATATAGAAATTTTATACGTACGGTAAGTGCGTGAGAGTGAAAACCTGCAAACCAATCATTAAATCTGTTCACGTAAAGTAGGTACAAAAATGTATGTTACATAAAACGCGAATTACTATATAAACGATCTTAATAAATAATATGAAAATTTTTTAAAACTTCTACGTAGTGAAAATTTCTTGATCAAATTTAGTAAACTTTCTTTTATTTCAATTCTATAATCACATTGAACTAAATAAATGAAATTGAAATTTGTCAGGTAGATTTCGTTCAAAGTCTAGGTATCTAAAAAAAAGGCTGTGGAAATTTTTTAATGAATATTATTTGACGACTACCTATACAAATTCGCAGAATTGAAATAAAAAAAATTTCATCTAATTTTGATAATAGTCGTTGAAAAATCGTTTAAAGTTTAAACTAAGAAAATTCACCCGATTTTGTTTTCTAAGATGACCATTAAACTGAATTCAATAATTCTTTTCTTTTAATTCTATAAAAGCCTGGGACTAAAACAAAATAAAATAAAGATTGTATTCCTTCATTTCGTGTAACATAATCTTGAATAACGCATAGGTATGTAGTGACACGGCACATGAATTACCTATCTTAAACCTCTTAAGATTTTGAAATCTACATACGTAGAACATTCATGTATAACCAACTTTCATTGATATCCTAACACTAACGCTAAGTGCAGAATAAGCAATCTTAAGATTTTGAGTAACACTAAGTGCAGAATAAGCAATCTTAAGATTTTGAGTAACGCTAAGTGCAGGATAAGCAATCTTAAGATTTCGAGTAACGCTAAGTACAGGATAAGGGGTTGGGCCAGATCAGCCCGAACAAAACAAAGCGAGACGACAAAAAAAAAACATGAAAAATATAAAAAACGGCGGTCTTTGTTCACTAAGTAAAAGTGTTGGAAATGTGATTTTACTATATAAACAACTTAATCTAACCCTACCTAATAACAATTGATTTTAATTAAAAATTGGAAAAATCAGATAATCTCGTGATGTACCTATCCCCCAATCTTAAGATTTTGAGTAACGCTAACGCTAAGTGCAGGATAAGTCTTAAGATTTTGAGTTTGGAAACAGGTTTTATTTTTCATACGTTAAAACCAGGTTTAAACGGCTTTAACATATTGTGAGCCCGATTTTCGGGGTCACGGGTGCCCGAATCGGGGTGACGATCCTTACCCGATCCAAGGTCACGCGAAAAG